GTTACCTGGAGCGGGCTCCCCTGTGGTTTGCCCGCCTGCGTGCTCTGGTGTCAGTCGGGCACCGTGCCTCAGTTTCCCCATCTCCGAGGAGCAAAGCTTTCGCCCCTTGCAGCCTGTGGGTGTTGTTAGGGTTAGGGGGTTTGGTGCTGAGCAAAGTACATCGCTCTGAGCGACAAACCCTGTCCCTGCCCATCGGGGTCACAGCTCAGCGCTGTAGGAGCAAGGTGGCCTCTCCTGCCTGGGGTACTGCGCCCTGTCCTCCCCCCGACACCATTTTTCTGGGGACACTTTGGTTGTCCCAGCTCTTGTCCCTGGATGCTTGGGGTGATGTCCCTGTCCCCAGGGTTCGGCAGGCAGCGGCTGCCCTGTACAGAGCTGCTGGCGATGGAGCCAAGTGGGGTGCTGACAGTGTGGTGGCTGTGGTCCGTAGCGACTGAGCCTTCCTCTCGTGCCCCACAGATGTGATGAGGCCAAATCCTGCCCTCCTTCAGGGCTTTTATCTGTTCCACATCTGTCCAGGAGTGCATAAACAGAAGCGCATGGCTTCCATCCATGTCTGGCAGCACTGGGGTCCCTCTAGCTGGAAGGGTTTTGAGGAAACAACACAGGGAGGGCAGGCAGGGTGTCCCAGCACCCATGGGGCATCTGGGGGCACCATGAAGGGCCAAGTTGTGGGGTTGTCACCCACATTGTGGGTGCAGAAAAGCACCTTCCCTGCGTAGAGCACCTCACTGCCTCCTAGCCTGGGGTACCACCACCTTGTCCTCCAAGCCTTGGCCAACTGAAATGCCTCTGGTCCTCGCGCTGTGCCAGCTGCCAAGCAGCCATCAGCTGGTAACAGCTTCCAGTCTGGGCTGGCTGGCCTCCAGCAGGCCCAGGGCCAGCTCCTGTATCAAGCGTCCAGCACTCCCGAGCTTCCCACGCCTTGGAGAGCCCCAGCTCCTCCGGCAGCTCAGGCTGTCCGGCTTGGGGCCAGCGCTCCCTCAGTCCCCGTGCTGGGCCGTGCTGCCAGCCAGGGAGCTGCCGGCTGTGCCCAGCCCACGCTGGGGACATGGGGTGGCGGTGCCGGGCAAAGCGGATTCCTTTGGAGAGTGTTTGCTCTCCAAAACAATCGTGCTCGGCCCCATCTGACCTGCTGCGGTGGGTGGGACCCGGCAGGGAAGGGCTGGGCAGGGAGCAGGGTGATGCTGCCAGCTGGATGCGGCCCTGGGCTCTCCGTGCTGCTTGCTTTCCGGCTGCTAACGCGGAGACATCTGGGAGGATGCAGGGCCTGTGTGTGCTCTGCACCTCCCCAGGGGATACTCAGTGCTCCGGCCACTATCGTTGGCTTCTTGGAAAGGATCTGGCCACTCCTGGGATCAGCATGGCTGTGGGACGGTGCGGAGCTGAGCCCAGGGAGGCATTGAGTCTGCTGAAGTTGACCCCTCTCCGCTGATGGCTTGAAGGAGCTTCTGCTCCCCTGGGATATCCATGCCCAGGGCCTGGCCGAGCTGGCTGTCACCACCCTCCTTGCTGCCGAAAGGCAGAGGGTGTCGGGGGTGGAGGCCATGGCACTGGCTTCTCCATCCCTGGCTTTGGCATCATGGCAGCATCTCCCCCGCCTCGGCAGGGTTAAGTCAGATTCCCCGGCTGAGCTGAGCCTTGCTGGGAAACACTCCCCTCCCTCCTGGGGGACCCTTGGCTGGGCTCAACGCCGCGCCTGGAGCCGCGCCAGGCTTTTGGGGTGAGAGCGTGACCGGGGCCACGTGGATGACATGATGCTGATGGGGCCGGCTTTCTCTCTGCACCCAGCTTCCGCAGCAGCGATCAGGCCTTGCTCCGCTAACGGCTCTGGCTGCGCTCTCCGGTTCCTCGCCTTCCGGGCACAGGTCCCCAGGGACACTTGGGCGCACGGCAGGTGCGGTGCTGGCTGCTCCCGAGAGGTTTTGAACTGCTGGGGAGCTGGGGCCACGCTGGCGTGGTGATTTCACGCCTGGTGAGTG